CACCCGGGCCCCGTCGCCGCCCCTGCGCCCGGCGCGCCTCGGCCGCACTACCTGGGTGCCTCGGTCATCATCACCAACGGCAGGTGACCCGCTAGGGCCGGTCCCGCTCCGCAGGGCGGTCCACAGGGAGAAGCCATAGGCCAGGCCTTCTCTGGTTCCTTTTTTCCTTTTTTCCCCCAAGGTCCAGCAGATGGAGGGGCGAACTGTATATGCACGATATAAATTAATTTATACAGAGACGACTATTTTAATAGAACTCCGCAGCCGCCTAAATTTTAGATTTTTACCGTAGATGCCGGTGGAGAGGGTCGGGATCCCAGTTGGGGATGAGGAGAAGGGACCCCCCAGCCGGTTTTCAGAGGGCTGAGAGTCCAGATGCCAACGTGTGACCTCAAACTACCCAGTTCCCAGGGCAATCGAGCCGAGGCCCAACAACGGGAATTCAAGGCATTGTATTCAGCTTGGCGGAAGGACGCCACTTTAAAGGGACCCCCCTCTCCAAACCCATCCCATAGTCGGCTGTTCCAGAGAGGTGGAGTCAGGGTGGAAGTCCCTTCAGAGTCCTTTTGGACACTTAAGTAAGCGCAAAATGTTATCCTTGTAAGTCCCACGAGCAGACAAGAGTTTCTGCGGTCTTTGAACTCACTCATGCATCTCATTTCAAAATTTAATCCTTTTAAAAATACAAAACCCAACAAGCCGAGGCTAAGGAGGCCGGCGTGCAAGCCTATTGTGTGCGTGGACATGGGTGTGCTTCAGAAGCACATTAACAAGCTCACTCTTTCCCGAGCCCATAGGAACTCTTGGTAACACCCACAATTTGCACCTTCAAAATATATGGAGTAGGCATCAAATGCAAAAAAAATAAAATAAAATAATAAAAAAAAATAAGATATATATAGCCAGGCATCTTAGAATGTCCCTGACAGCTTAATTCCCTGGCCAAGTCCCTTCAGCCCTCACAGATCTGTTAGTCCTACGCTTGTGTTTGCTGCAACTAGGTACTACTAAGGCTAGTTAAATTGCATGTGCAATACAGAAACCTGAACGGGCCGCACCTTGTGGAAGGTAAACATGCGTAAGGGATATAATGAAAATGGTGTATACGTTTAAGCGTTTTCTACATAGCGAGAGCTTCGTACGAACATGTCATGTGTAACAGGTGAATGGAGACCCTTTTTATAAACGCACCAGCAGTGTTTAAAAATAAACTTCCATTACTTTTGTTTCACGCTTATGGTTTATGTATTTATGGGTGCATTTTCCTTTACGGGTGTGGCTCAGTAGCCCAGGGCTTGGGTGACAGGAAGATGCTGGGTTTAAACCCCGGTATGGAAAGAAAAATAAGAAAATCACTATTCAAAAATTCTGTCTCGGTTCTAACCTGAACATCTGTCTTGTCCAACATCTGCTTTACTGCCTTTCAGTTTCTCTACACAGGAAATACTTCATTTACTTTTAAGGAAGTTTACTTCACTTCAGGAAACTCCTCCCACGGGTATCCAAAGGTGTCGATTTTTTTTAACCAATCCTTCTGCAATCAGTGGCATCGAGAGCCCTCAACATACAAACCCCGTAGACTCTGTGTCAACTGCCTACCCAGCTATGCCTCAGGGGATGCTGTCGGTGTCTGCACATGGTAATAAGCTGATGGCGTTATCTTTTATGTTCACGAGTCGCATACTTAAGCCATGGTTCTCAGAAGGTCTATGTTTGATTCGTGGGCATTGGCACCAACATTTTTCAATAAAGTACCACTTAAGTGCTTTTGGTTATTACCTCTGAGAGCTGTGTCCACTGGACAGAAGGATTCTGGAGCAGGTTAACAGGTTAACTGAAGGGGGAAAAAATGAAGCTGTTATAGATTTACAAATGATAAACATAAGGGAGTTTATGTGTTCCTAAAAATTAAAATGCATATCAGTAAAAAATCTCCTTATTTGAACAGACATCACGTTTTCATGATCTAAAACAGGAAGGAAGATTCCCCAGAAAGCCACACTGGCTCACAGAGGTTATGGACTCTGGCAAAGTTGACAAGCAGTTACCATGGCAACCCAATACCGTTACCCTCATCCTCAAGATTCTGCCCACGGAAGCAGCCCTGATATCATTTCTCAACTTTGAAGTTCTGACCGAAGAAGAATTTTAATAATGATACCACTCTTTCACGAAAGAGAGAGAGAGAGAGAGAGAGAGAGAGAGAGAGAGAGAGAGAGAGAGAGA